AGATACCGCAGCAGGTTACTTGGTTGGAGACAAAATGCTCCACAGCTGGGCCCAGTGGGACAATCAGATGGTGAATGGTTCCAAGCTGACGAGAGAACAGAGGAACGACTCTGACAAAGGTTAAGGCAAACTAGACCCCTAAGCTCATTCTCTCTCCACTTGTTGCTTAAGTCCAGTGAAAATGCTATTGCAAGATGTCAGTACCAGCATTTCATGGATCATATAAAACAATTTTTTTTCCTCGTTCTCTTTCTGTTTTTTTTTTCGTTTTTTTTTTTTTGTGTGTGTGTTCCCTTTTGTTTTTTCGCTTTGCGCTCTGATAACTTTGTGACGATATATTGTGAGTCTTTGTGACATATCTATCGACGAAGGGCCACACCACACCACTCCCGAAATGTGAAGTGGTGTGGCGATGCCCGAAAAGAGAGCACTTTGTGAAACGAAAGACAAAAAGGCAATATATGTACATACTACATATACCTCCTCTTCCTGTTCTTCCTTGTTGTCCTCCTCTGTCTCCCACTCTTCCACCCGACCACCCCTCCCAAACCCCACCCCTTTTTCCGCATCTTCTTCCTCTTACTTCGTGCTGCTTTATCTTGAAGATTCACGTGCACAAGTCCCTTCCTTGGGTTTCCTCGCGGAATTTCCTTCGAGATTCCCTTTGTGGAACCCCTTTTGGGACAGATCATCATTCAAAAACTTTCTGTACAGTATTGCTAACTACGGCTTTGTGAAATCACCTAGACAACATGGAACCCCCTTTGGGACATTTGGGAAACTTTCTGTGTGGTACTGCCTATGGCTTTGCGAAATCACCTACACCTGTTACCTTCTCACTCCTCACTCCTCACTCCTCGTTCCTCACTGGGTGCCTTCGTCCTCTTCCCAACTGCTCCTCCTCTTCCTCCTCATTTTGTTCCTTCTCCTCCTCCTCTCCCTTCAGCTGAAATAACAAATGACATTGTGGGAATTTCCCTCCTCCTGTGAAGTGTCCCTTGTTGAGACTTCCTGGAGAAATCTTCTGGCCAAGAACCTGGCATAGATTCCTAGACATATTCATGCTGAACTCACACACCGCATATGAGCAAGCGGGACTTTGTCCCACTCTTTTCCAAAAGCCCATCGAAACCCCTGTTGCAAAATGCCACCATCTGCATTTCATCACCCATACACGGATACGTATCTCTCCTTCATTTTACGACACAGCCGTCGACTGAACTTGAACCGGAGGCCTTTCCCTTACAAAGGAGATATAAGCCTGCAGGCAAAAAGTGGAGCAATTCGGACATCTCACACGCAAAGTAGTGGCCAAAACTGCTTCAAAATCTTCATATCTGTCCCATTTAGAAAATCAAAAGAATTTATACACATACACGTACACACATACACATCCACATGCTCATGCCTGAGAAACATAACATTTGATCCCCAAAGGGCCCAAACCCTAATTTCAGTTCTTGACCCGTTACCCGAGAGCTGAAAAGTGGGGGTGCCAATTAACCACTTGTGACACACATACACATGCACATACACATACACGTATACATACCGAGACTTCCTCCAGTAACTTCCCTTCAGTAACTTCCCTCCAGTAACTTCTCTTCAGTAATGCGATGCAGGGCGCATACATAAATTACACTGCAGGAGCTTCCATCCGGTAATTTCCTTCTTGCGTGGGAAAGTCCTTAGGTCAGGTTTGCTTACAAAGATCAGTGTAGCGATTGTCGTGGCCGACATCGCATTACTTCCTTTGTGAGATCAGGTCATCCATTCATTCATGTCCGCATGGGATTTTACCTTATCCCTCTCGTGCTCGTTTGATGCTCTTCGCAGAAATACCACATTCTTTGGATGCTCTTTGCAAAAATACCATGCTCTCTCTGGATACTCTTTGCAGAAATACCATGCTCTCTTCGGATGCTCTTTGCAGAAATACCCTGGTCTTTGCTCACTGCAGATCTGAGATGATAATATGATATCTGCCCCTCCTGGAAGCGTTTGGAAAACCTCTGAGAGAATTGGATTCAATCCCACAGCGAGGAAAGAGCAGGGTATTTCTGCAAAGAGAGTGTAATGCCATGTGCATAATATATTACAGTCGCTGCAGAAATACCTTTGTTTCTTTGGATGCTTTTTGCAGAAATACCCTGGTCTTTGCTCGCTGCAGCAATACCATGCTCTCTTTGGATGCTCTTTGCAGAAATACCCTGCTCTTTCCTCACTGTGTGATTGAATCCACATCTTTCGGAGGTTTTCCAAACGCTTCCAAGAGGGACAAATATCATATTATCATCTCAGATATGGGATTAATATAAACTTATGAAGTGTAATGCCATGGGCGTAATATATTACAGTCTACGGCGGCCTCTGTCAAACATTGGATTCCTTTGTCGTAGAAAAAGCTGTCCGCTAAGGGAATCGAACTGTTGACCTGCTCGTGCTCTTCCGAT